TACATGTGACATACGGGCCTATAAGGCCGACATGACCATTTGTAAACTTAAAACATAGGCCGACAAGGCCATACAAGTATCCATACACCTGACATCTGTCTACAAGCCTCTAAGAGTACATAAAATTATAAAGGTCGGGGCAGGGCCCCGCTATACCAATCAATACATATCCAAAGCATACTGACCAAATAGGCAACTCCGGAGCAAGTGGAGTGCACCAACACCTTCGCTGAGCTGATAGCCTACTAGGAGGAATATCAACCTGTCTATCGGGACCTGCGGGCATGAAACGCAGCGTCCCCAGGCAAAAGGGACGTCAGTACGAATAAAGTACCGAGTATGTAAGGCAGGAAAGCATAAACAAGATCAGTAACGTAAAGAGAGATAGAGGAGATACAACCTGTAACATCTGAGTGCATGTGGGGGCTACTGACATGAAATGCATAATACATATATATACATAAGCTTTTAAAAACATACGCCTCTGTGGGCATCATCATCATCATATCATACCCGGCCTCAAAGAGGACTCGGTAAAAACGTACCCGGCCATCATAAGGCTCGGTAGAATCATACCCGGCCACGTGGAGCTCGGTAAACCCAACTGATCAGTGGTTGCACAATAGGTGCCATACCCGGCCGACTATAGCGCGGCTCGGTAGAGTAAAGTAGATACATATATAATGCATGCTGGACTCATGGAGTCACGTTCTAAACCTTTTGGAGTGACATAAGGTCATTGCACCATCGATTAACATTATGTACATCATACCATCAATATAAACTTCACTAGGACTCAAGGATCATATATACTTTCTTGGAATAACTTTGTAAGGAAAGAATAACATGGACAACCTTAGTTGCTAGGAGTAGATTCATTATGAAATAGCGTATCGTTTATGCTCGTTTCACTTTAGATCATGCCAAAAGAATGAAGGAAGAGCCTTAACATACCTTGTATATACTGCCCCAATCTCAAGCTATACAATTTTCACGACTCCTTAGTCTACAATAAGAGAAACGATACTGTAGTTATCATTCAAGCGTCATAACTATTATGTATCGACCACAACCTATTTTACGATGAAACGGACAGCACCTCCCCTATATATATGACTTCACACAATTCCAAACAATCACCAAACAGCCCAAACAACATCAATAATAATCATATTGAGCCTCCCAAAAACGCACAACCTAATCACTTCATACATACGACGGCCACCGTAGTCGTGTCAAACGACCCGGAAATGTTACAAAGAACTATCAGCCCACAACCCTACATCTATATGGTGTTTTTCCACATCCTTCCTCCTCCAAAACTCCACAAAACAGTAGTAAAACACGCAGCCCAACAGCAACACAAAACAGTCCACAAAACAGTCCGCTACAAGTGAATAACTCGAACTCACGACTTCCGATCACCGTCCCGTGAGTTCTTACATGTATAGAACGAATTACCATGAATTTGCAGAAGAATAAATATATGAAAAAGAGCAGTAAACTCACCTTACTTGTTGGATAACTCAGCCCTTCCCTTGGTTCTTCAAACTCTAGGTTTTACCCCCAATTAGAACTTGAAAGAGAGGGAAAATCGATTAGGGTTTGTGGATAATTTTTGGGAGGAAGTTTGCAGGGGTTTAGGTCTGGTTATTTGTGATATATAATGAGGGTTATATTGCAGGAGATAACCCTTTAAATGGGCTCTTTGGCCGACCCGAAATTTCCTATTTTTGGGCTATCATTTAACCAAGTAGGTGACACACCTACTTGCACCTAGCAGCTTGTGCAGTCTCGCAAAAATGCCTATATCTCTCTACTCCGATGTCGTATTGATGAACGGTTTAAAGAGTTGGAAACTAGACTCATAGATCTTTAATTTGATAGGTAGATCATCCCCTAATTCCAAGTATTTTGGGAGAAAATATCAGTTATATTTGACCTAATTTTCAGCACATTTATGAACGGAACTTGTGATGACCTTTTTCCAACTTTTGTTCCACAACTCGCTTGACTTCAAAACATAACACCAACTATCGTACGACTAAAACAACTCATAATATAATCTCCTTATAATGTTAATAACTCTAGTATCACCCCAAAAGTACATGGTAAAACATTCCAACTTGTCGACTTTCGACGAAACTTATTTTCTTCAATTCGTTTAGCTTCTAAGCCCTCAAGCCCTCTTGCTACTTGGTACTAATGATCTTAAATATTTGTAACCTCCACGTTAACATGATTAACTTACTTTATTTGCTTCCAAATATAATCTCATTTTCGAGCTTACATCAATGACTTACGACGTACTCTCACGTATGAAAACTTGGGGTGTAACAATCACAACTAAAAGTGGTACTATTAATTTAATTTGATAGAGACATTAGTGCAAAGCAATGGAGGAGCCATATATATTGAAGGGGTGTCAGCCAATACTTTCTAATAGAAAATTGCACTGTATAATTTGGTAAATATTTTTAAATGTGTTTATATACTACATATTGACGTCCCTTGATTACTTCGATTTATTTTTTTTACATTTTGATATCCTCGGTGAAAACTCTTGCTCCGCCTCTAATTCAAATGCTTCAAACAGGGCCTCTACCCCTCAATGAAATAAATCTTCCCCTAAGTTCTATCCTAGTGGAAGGCTCCTTCAACATCAATATCCTCTCCTTCGAATTACCAGAAACCATTCGTAAAAAAATTTTCAGCACTTATGTTAAGGAGAGTGCGCCGGCAGTAGACAAATTTACTTGGGAAGAGGGGCCGAATGGATCCTTCTCAACGAAGGCTGCTTACAATATTATCAAAGCCCAGACAAAAGAAGAAGGAAACTGGACTGACCTTTCTTGGCTATGGAAGCTCGATACCTTAAGCAAAATCAAGTCCTTCTTATGGACAGTTGTCCATAACAGATTACCCACCTCCAAAATGTTGCATAATAGAAAAATCATTAACTCTAGCATTTGCAATATTTGCCAAAACGAAGAAGGAGACATGGAACATATGTTCTTTAATTGCCGACACTCAAAACCTATTTGGGATCAATTGGGAAGTTCTTACAAATACCCGGATCAGCCCCGCAATGAGCTCACTATGCATAACTGGCTGAAACCCCTTTGCCATAATAAATCTTCCTTTAATAGATTCTTATCTAAGGCAGATATCCTTCCCTTTACCCTTTGGCATATCTGGATTCACAGAAATAATTTTATCTTTAACAACAATAAATCTCCTCTCTCCTTAAATAACATCGTTAAGAGTGCAACGGAATTTAAGTTGTTAACAGAGTCTTTCCAGAGTCCCAACCCCAGGACGACTGTCTACATAAAATGGAAACCACCTGATCGGGGAACTTTTAAATTAAACATAGATGGATCTAGCTTAGGCAACGCTGGGAGGGGCGACATTGGAGGGGTTATCAGAGACTGGGATAGCAATTGGATTATAGGTTTTAACATGTCTATCCCCCACGCTACTAACATATACATGGAAGCCCTCGCCCTTATACAGGGTCTAAAAATAGCAATACAACAAAACATTAGGCGATTACTTGTTGAAACAGATTGCAGTATCTTAGTTAACATGCTTACTAACGATAATGGTCCGTATCAAAATTTGATTACTGATTGCAGATGGATGCTTACTAGAGCAGGAGAGCCTCAGGTCACTCACGTCTTCAAAGAAGCGAATGGAGTGGCTGATGCTATGGCAAAACATGGAAGCAACTCGAAATTTTTTGGAAATCCTATGTTGTACTTCTCCCCGCCCCCTTTTGTTGTTTCTACTTTTAAACTGGACAAGCTAGGAACTTTGTGTCCTAGAAGAGTCCCAATTTGTATTAACTCTTAAACAGGGCGGAATAAATATCTTCATTACCAAAAAAAAAATGCTTCAAAAGTCATGCCATAAACTATGAGCCAAGTGTCCTACTTCAGATCCACTGATCCTCTCCACTCTCCTTCAAACACCAAACAGATTCCCATTTACATCACGTGAACTTGTTCCTCCCCATTTTTTCCTTCTTTCCCTATCTTTTTTATTATTTTACTTTTTATATGGTTTTCAATTTTTCTCTTCAAATACACACCGTGCTTTTGAAAAATGTGAGCTTATAATTTGATGGATCATGCAATAAAATGAAATAAAAAGATATTATTTTACTCTCAAATTATTATAATAGGAGTAGCTTTCTTTAACACAACTTTTAAATCTAATCATCTAAAATTAAAATCATATGGTAAACTAATAATCGTTTTAATCTTTTGAGGAAAAGTAATAATTTTTAGTCATATTTTTATTTCAGCAAATCAAAACACAGAGATTATATGAGGTTAGGGATATTATTTTATCAAGGTCAAAGCATCCGTATTAAATTTTACATTATATTAAGTAACTTAAAATACTAAAGATTTACATAAAAGTATATTAAGTCCATGGATGGGGAAAGGAAAAATAAAATATTTTAGGCGTTAAATAATACGAGTAAGATCAATGATACAAGTAGAAAAAAAAAATTGATTTATTTCTCTACGTTGAACAAAGTAGAACACTAACTTAATTTCTTCATCCACTCTTATTATCCTTCTCATATATAAAAATTAAGAAAAAGAAAAATAGCTTGTAAAATTTGGAAATCATTTACAAACTATGCTGAAAATTTTCTCTTGAAAAGTGATTTATTTTTATAATATATTTTAATATTGAGTAAGTAATTGTCAATAAAAATGGTTGATTAAGCAATCACAAAATCCTATTTAATCATTTTTTAGTTAAATTGGTATTTCATACTCCATATTCAAAATTTGTGCTTGTTTGTCACAGTAAAAAAAATCGAATTATTTATTCATAAAACTAATAAACCTTTCTCAACAATAAAATATCATTTCTCAACCAAAAAAAAAAAAGGAATCGCCAATACTCCATTATTTATTGAATAAAAGAAGTAATAAAATATTACATTTTACTATAGCAAGATAGAAGAAGGAAGAACAGCTGAAGGTTAGATCCTCGTTTTCATCGATCAGTCCTTCCCTTTCTCTTCGTTTTCCTGTAAAAACCAAAGTTCTCTCCATTTTCTCTGCTTCCTGATCTGTGTAAGGCAACTATTGTTTCTTTCTGTGTTCCCAATCTTTAAGTGGCTGATTAATTTGGTTTGTATTTTTTTGTGCTTTCTGATTTGATCTTATATGAATCCTTGAATCTTGTTATTATATTAGCTTGATTTCACATTTTCCCGTTGAATTTTCATTTTGATTTCACTTTTACTGTCCACTGACACTCAGTCTCCCACATACATAAGTTTGAGCAATTCTCTATCTATTTCTACCTGCTTGTGTCTTCTTCCCTTTTTTTTTTTTGTACTTTCTGGTTTTGATCTTAAATGAAATTTTTAATTACCTTTCGTATCATGGTAGCTTCATTCGATGTTTAATTCCTGAATTACGCTTTTTTTTTCTTTGTTATTGAACACAGCTGTTATATGGATAAGTTTGAGCACTTCTAGTGATTATCTAGTTGAAATTTTAAAGTTGGATTCACTTTACTCTGTTAATTTGTGTATGATCCAAAGATAAAGTCAGACCCTACCAGGCATTTAGTGTAAAAGGAAGAATTTTTTTTATTTTATTTTTTTGGCTTAATCCGCCTTTTACCATTAAAAAAAGAGTGCACAAGTATTCCAGCTAATAAGGGCAAGGTTCTTCTTATTTCCTTCATTCAAGTTTGAATCTGTTTAGATCCTTAGGCAAACGTAGTTCTTTAGTCATCTTAGTGTTAAATCTCAACTGAATTGGCTCAGAATTAAGCTGATTAATGATTAGCATATTTTATAGGTTAATGATTAGCATTTTGTTCCGTTAAATTCCAGATGGCTTCCACAATGTTCTCTCTAGCTTCTGCCGCTCCATCAGCTTCATTTTCCTTGCAAGATAATCTCAAGGTAATTTCATCATCAATTACATTATTTGGAAATTTGCCCTATCTTAGACTATTCCTAATGAGGTGGATTCATGCTGATGTTTGTGTTTGAACAGTCAAAGCTAAAGCTGGGGACTACTAGCCAAAGTGCCTTTTTCGGGAAAGACTTCGCGAAGGCAAAGGTAGGATTTTTGTGTTGTTTGTGTACATTTGGTGAGAGGTAAAAGCTCTACTGATATAGAGCAACTCCCTGTAGGTTCTGTCCTTTAGAGTATAGAAGAGAAGAGAAGAGTTTAATTGGGAATAATGGTGGGGATGGGATGATTTGCATACAAATGAACATGCGTTTCTTGCTTTGGTGTATGATATAGGATGATCCAACAATGCTCCGTAAATCAACTCCAGAACTTATTTTTCTTTCCGCACTTCTAATTAAAAAAATCTGGTTGGAGTAGTGAATAAAAGTGATTACCTAACCAACTTACAGAATTAATTTTATTATCCATATACTGAAATTCAAAACGGCGTTATGCCAGTACTGGTTTCTTGAGAGGGATGATATTAATATAGAATTATTTTATAAAGTCGCAGTTTAACGTAGGGTATTTTACTAACTGGAAAGTGATAGATGATTACATTTAGTTTATTAGATGCTAAGAAGTATAACAGTGAGGCCTGTTAACCTTTTGCTAGTATCAATGATTGGGGTTTTATGACGTTTAGGAATTTACACATCAATTGGAACATTTTAGAACGAAAAAAAATATGACATTTATCTTACAATAAAATTTTACTAGTAAATAATTTGTATGAACTTTGCCATTGCTAAAATGTGGCTCAAGATCTTCTTGGTACTTCTATTTGTAATATCAGAGTTATAGGGGTCTAATTCTACCTTTTGAGTCGAAATTGTTAGTAGTAAAGATAATTCTTTCTTGTACCCCTTCAGTGCTAACATTCTCATCTTCACTTATGGTATTGGTTTATAAAAAATTGTGATTCAGATCACTTTATAAAGTAAAAATTATGCCTCAGTTTGTACAGCATTTTGGGTTATATGACATTCAATTCAACAGGGTTCTTTAATATCTATTTTTCTATTTTTTGTAATATTGCAACATTGAGCTGTTTAGTGTGCTCAAAGGCTATTATTAGTCCTCCCACTCACCAGATCCTTAGAAAAAAGCCCAGAAGAGAAAGGCAAAGAAAACAAGCCCGGACAGATTGCTCGTTTTATAAATTTGGGAATTGGGATCTCTTTTCTCATATTCTTACTTTTTTCTCTTTCTTTTTTTCCAGTCAAATGGTCGTACTACTATGGCTGTTGCTGTGAACGTCTCTCGGTTTGAGGGAATAACTATGGCTCCTCCTGACCCCATTCTTGGAGTTTCTGAAGCATTCAAGGCTGATACAAATGAACTAAAGCTTAACCTTGGTGTTGGAGCTTACCGCACGGAGGAGCTTCAACCATATGTCCTCAATGTTGTTAAGAAAGTAAGTTCTTGGTCTCTTGTTTATGCTCAAGTAGTTTGTAAACTTTTAGTCACTTGACCTTGTTCCCATGGGTGGATACCCTTGTCCAAGGGGAGTCAAGTGACACCCCTTCGTCAAATTATTACACTCTGTAAATAGGTTAATTCTTTTTTAAAATGTATGTGTGTGTGTGTGTGTGTGTGTTCATCATTCATTAACTGTTTTAGTAACCCTCTATAATTTTGCATCCGAATGATGAGGAAATTGCTTTTCTGTAGGCAGAAAACCTTATGCTAGAAAGAGGAGATAACAAAGAGGTACTTGATTTACTAAATTCATCTTTTGGCCTTGACTAGGGTTACTTGGTGCCAATGCTTACTTATTTTTTAATCTATGGATATATAGTATCTTCCAATAGAAGGTTTGGCTGCATTCAACAAAGTCACAGCAGAGTTATTGTTTGGAGCAGATAATCCAGTGATTCAGCAACAAAGGGTAAGTATTTTTGTTTTTTACTCTTAGGAAAATATATCCTGGAATAAACATGTAAATTCGGTTTCTATGGATTTTGTTGTGAACGACGTTGTACGTTTCGTGATCAGGTGGCTACTATTCAAGGTCTGTCAGGAACTGGGTCATTGCGTATTGCTGCAGCACTGATAGAGCGTTACTTCCCTGGCTCTAAGGTTTTGATATCATCTCCAACCTGGGGTACGTAGATAGTGCTTTTGGATTAATTTGGTTGAATCTCATGATACTGATTTTTACAGTTATGTTTTGCAGGAAATCATAAGAACATTTTCAATGATGCCAGGGTGCCTTGGTCTGAATATCGATATTATGATCCCAAAACAGTTGGCCTGGATTTTGCTGGGATGATAGAAGATATAAAGGTTATTATCGTCCTCAGATTTGTAATTTTTGTGGTTGAAATTGTAAAGCAGCAGTGAGCACTGTCTTTTTCCTTTCTCCACAAGTCAATTGATGGTGCCTTTGTTTGTGGCACATGCTTTGACTTTCAGTAGTTGAAGGAGAGATGCGTTGTTCATTCTAGAATAGCATTGTATCTCCCAATTGCTTTTTCTGTTTCCTGTTCTTCCTTCCTATGTTTGCATTGATCCATGTCTCTGCTAAACATGGACAATTTGCGCCCTTGGCAATGACATGTGTGTTGCTTGCTTTTCTTCTCTTTCTATTTCTTGGTAGGAGTGACTTGGTTCTTTCAATGTGAGCAGTCATATTTCTGAAAATGAAAATCAGAGGAACTTGGGATGTGGAAGGGATTTACGGAACAAGTTTGATAATGTAATTTTTCTTGTGAGGATGGAATATGCAAAAATAGGCTGCACGCTTTCCTTTTAGATCTTTGGTTCCTATGTCGGTTGTGAATGTAGATTTCTATTTTTCAACATTGTCTCGTGAGGAAAATAGGATTATCCAGTATTGGATGTCTTTCCTATGTTTGATATATGTGTATGTGCAGTCTTGTTTGACCGTCTTGCTCTCTTCCCACGTCTAAAAAGAGAGTCTGATGGGAAAGTTTTTTTCCTTCCAGTTCTTGTGTAAGTCATTGGCATAGTTTAATGGCATTACTTGTTTATAGGCTGCTCCTGAAGGATCATTTATCTTGCTCCATGGCTGTGCGCACAACCCAACTGGTATTGATCCCACAATTGAACAATGGGAAAAGATTGCTGATGTAATTCAGGAGAAGAATCACATTCCATTTTTTGATGTCGCCTACCAGGTAATCTGTGCTAAACCCAATTATTTCATTTGGTGAAGCAGTAAAATTTCAAGTTTCTTAGAAGTTTTGATGGTTGTGTGTGCGTGTGTGAAGAGAATGAATGATGTAGGAGTTGGTTTCAAAATAGTGAAAGATCTCTCGTATTTCATTTGTTCTTTTGGTGTGAGGAGAGTATACATTGTTGTTTTGATAGATGGGAAAATTTGATAGATGAAGGTGGTTAAGCCACGTGTTACTTTGTACATATTTTTTGACACCGTCATGGTGTTTATCAATAAATTTACTGATTTTTCAGTAAAGTTATTAGAACAAGATCATCTGAAGTCATTTCTATTCAGAGAATTGCATTGAATAGCTGTATACTAGAATAATTGAGACGCCTCATCTGTCTACACGCTGCCCTACAGGGATTTGCAAGCGGCAGCCTTGACGAAGATGCCTCATCTGTGAGATTGTTTGCTGCACGTGGCATGGAGCTTTTGGTTGCTCAATCATATAGTAAAAATCTGGGTCTGTATGGAGAAAGGATTGGAGCTATTAATGTTCTATGCTCATCCGCTGATGCAGCGACAAGGTACAGTCACCCGCACTAACAACTACATAATTGTCCTCTGTATAGGAAAAATGATGTTGCACTGGTAAACAATGGTTCCATATGAAATGCCAATTACGAGCTGTTGTCCCTTTGCTTTGATATTGTTTACTACAATTGGTATCTCCTATCACCTGAGCCTATGGGTTGATCGGATTTTATGTCGGTGAACCAATTGAATTATTTGCTTAATTTTCTCTACTAATGGATGCATCTCTGCTAACTCACAGGGTGAAAAGCCAGCTAAAAAGGCTTGCTCGACCAATGTACTCAAATCCTCCAATTCACGGTGCTAGAATTGTTGCCAATGTTGTTGGAATTCCTGAGTTCTTTGACGAATGGAAACAAGAGATGGAAATGATGGCAGGAAGGATAAAGAGTGTGAGACAGAAGCTATACGATAGCCTCTCCACCAAGGATAAGAGTGGAAAGGACTGGTCATACATTTTGAAGCAGATTGGAATGTTCTCCTTCACAGGCCTCAACAAAGCTCAGGTAAAACCCCGTGATTTAAGCTATTGCTTCATCACAATATGCTTAAATTCATTTTGATCATTCATCGCAAAGCACATTCTTCACTCACCACGTATTTTCATTCATCGCAAAGCACATTCTTTCCGTCCTTTCTGATCAATTCCATAAGTCCGATATGCAAAAGATAGTGCAGTGAGAGTCTCTTACTGGACTATATCTATGGACTAGATTATCGACAATGCATACATTTCTTTCCCTGTACTTGCACTTCTGGTGCTCATATTTGATCTCTCTTCTTGGCCACGCAGAGCGAGAACATGACCAACAAGTGGCATGTGTACATGACAAAAGACGGGAGGATATCGTTGGCTGGATTATCGGCTGCTAAATGCGAATATCTTGCAGATGCCATAATTGACTCATACTACAATGTCAGCTAAAGATCTTGGATTATGAGAAATAGTAGTTCATAGTAACATCCGGAGGAAATTCAGCGTAGTTTATTCCTTATTTTGAGCAAGTTATCCTCAAATATTGTAATAATAATAGTTTTTGATTTGTCTGCTGCGGTTCACAGATTTATCTGTATGGAGCAAATTTTGGGACAACTTCTAAACAGCCAGATTCTGAGGTTATTATATAAGAAAGTTTTCCAGAGCGAAATACTCGAGTAGACATCTTAGTCTAGCTACCTAATTATCACTTCAATTATAATTTTTGTTGACATACAAAATCTCTAAGCAGTATTGGAATATGGAAGCAGCTAGAGTAGTCGCATAACTGTTAGCTGGTGGTTAATTAGAAGTAGTTAGTGTTAATGAGCTGTCAATTAGCTGTTAATAGTTAGTTGATGAAGTTAGTTAAAAGCCACGTGAAAAGCACATGAGAGAGAAGAGGCTATCTTCTATATAAGCTTGTACATGTATTCATTCCAAGTGAGCTAACATAGTTTCTTCCATCCCATCTCTCTGTTCTCTCCTCAAATTGATCCCAATCCCTAATTTTAGTAGACAATTTGACATGGTATCAGAGCGGGTTTCTAAGGGCGATTGATTTTTCGGCGAGATTCTGGCAGCTACTGAAGAACGTAAAGTTTGCTCAATTTCTCACAGTCATGGCAGGAAAAAGAACGTAAAGTTTGCTCAATTTCTCACAGTCATGGCAGGAAATGAAGTCACATTGTTGGATCACAATCATCCATTATCTTCAAGTTGGAGATGCACCTGGACTGGTTTTAATTCCTCTAAAACTCACAGGCACTCTGAGGCAAAAGCAAGCTTGGATTTGTGGGAGGAACATGCATCAAAAGCATGTACAAGGGAGAATTAGTTGAGCAGTGGGAGAAATGCAACGCGATTGTTCTATCGTGGATACGCAGCACAGTTTCGAGTGAATTGATGCCAAGCATCGTCTATGCATCTAACGCTACGAAAGTATGGAGTGATTTCCAAGAGAGGTTTGATAGATCGAATCTGACGAGAATTTAGCATCTCTGGACCAAGATTGCTACTTTGAGACAAGGTACTAATTCAGTTACTGCTTATTATTCTAAGATGAAAGTGTTTTGGGATGAATTAGATGTTTTGGCTCCTTTGCCCTCATATGACTGAGAAGAGTCTCTTCCCTATGTTGTGGACTTAAGATCACAGTGTTTACTGTAATTTATTATGGGACTTAATGAAACTTATAGTAACATAAGAAGCAATTTGCTGGCAAGGAGGCATGTGGTGTCCGTTAATGAAGCCTATGTTACTGTGACTCAAGAGGAAAGTCAGAGATGCCTGGGTGTAGTTGATGTGAATAGAGATCCTTTGATAATGCTAGCAAGAAAGACATACCAAGGTTTTAAGCCTAAGAAACCTAGAATAATCCATGAGCATTGTGGATACAACGGACATTTGAAAGAAAATTGCTACAAGATAGTTGGATACCCACAAGATTTCAAAAGTAAGAAGAAGAGTCCACAAACTGGTGGATTCAGGACCTTTGCTAACTCTACAATGACAGGAGATGGAGGGAATATGTCTGAGGAGCAGGGACATGGTCATTTCTTTACAGAGCAACAGTACAAACAGATTTTGAGCATGCTAGACAAGCTTGCATCAAGTGAATGTGTAGGCAACATAACATGTAATATGGCAGGTATGATCTCACAGTTATCCAACACCTTTACTTCTGAATGAAAAATTGACTCGGGGGCATCACACCATATTATATCATGTAGAGAATTAATGACTGCTTTTAGATCATTACAAGACCAAAACAACAACAAGGTGCAGATTTGATGATAGGCTATAATTGCATATTTTAGTCGCTTATTACACTCTAATTTACTGCACTTTAGTTGAGTTTGCGCTTTAATCACTAGTGTTTTATACTAACGGTGTGTTTTATGCCTTGTAGGAGTGATTTCGAGCTATATAGATGTTATGGAATGAATTTAAGTGATTTGAAGCTTTGAAGTCTGAGTAAAAGCTCAAGGAATTAAGCCGGGATCGTGTTCGGGGGTCAAATTTGATAGTTGAGAACAAACGAAGACTCGATGAGGCATATTACGCACTGTCTAGTAAACTGGACATAACTTTCTGATCCGAACTCCATTTGGGCTATATAATATATGGTTGGAAAGCTAATTCAAAGGGCTACAACTTTCATGTTTTACATTTTTCCAAATTCTGAACAGAATAGGGTGAAAAACGCGGTCGAAACCGCGACCGCGGAACTGACCGCGGCAGAAAATCAGAGAGCTTGTCTGGCTGCAGTCCTACCGCGTTTTGCCCGCGGCCGCGCCGCTCCAGGCGTCAAAAAGAAGTCCTATTTCGTCCGGAACAAGGTTATTTCGGCCCTACATTATTCCAACTTGTATAAAAGGGGTCCTAAACCTATTTTGAAGAGGGGGGGGGGGGGAGGGGGACATATTTTGGACATAAATTAGACCTAAGGAGGCAGAGACACTACTTTAGGGTTAGACAACACCCTTGGAGGCAAGAACACATTGGGAGCAAGGCGGAGAATTCTTCTACGAGTTTTTTCCTTCCTCTTCCTATTTTTCATTGTTGGTTATGACTTGTAGTATTGTAGTTTTACATACTATTATGAATAGCTAATTTGTTATCTAGAGTTTTGATAGAACCTTTTGTAGGATAAATTCTTGTTATGTTTTCATATAATTGAGCCATAGCTTTTCTCTATTTGTTCAACTACGTTTATATTTTGGTTGGTTGAAGAGCTCTCAATTGGCTGTGCCTATTTAGTATGCATAACTCGGGAGAGAGTGCATATTTAGGTAATTGTTAAACAACACCACTCCCAAAGTATATGAGGGATCAACAACCGAGGGTTTAAAGGCGGGATTAGGGATAACGAAACCTTGGGTGCGATCTGAAGTGAGCTGTATTAAAAGCCAGCTAGCGTAGCTCGGGAGAGTGCGTCTAGTAAATTGTCGTAATTACTCGGGAGAGATTTACGGTAATAAGAATGCTCATGATCTGTAGAGAATACTTAGGCAAAATTATAGAAGACATAGCGGGAAGGATTCCGACAATAGGGGAAATCATAACTCTAGACCTCCTTAATCTTTTCTCTAACCCTCAGTATCGTTAGTTGTTAATTTACTATTTTAATTTGTTAGTTAATTAGTTAAACACAAGAATCTTAATATCTATAAGTCAGGAATTGTTCAAGCTTGTCTTCTTGGTGACAGTGAACAGCTGTAGCTAAACCTTAGTTCTCTGTGGGATTCGACTCCGGACTTGTAAACCGGATTATATTTGCAGCGACCGCTTAGTCCTTTTTATAAGGCATAGTTGGGCATGATCAAGATTCCAACCAGTGTTAGAGCAGAAATTACAAGTGTAGGGAATGCAGTGATCCTAGAAAATATGAATTTGAAAATGTTTTACATGTTCCTGATTTCAAGTTCAACCTTCTCTTAGTATCAAAAATAACCAAGCAACTTTCCTGTGTAGCTTTGTTTTTCCCTGATTTCTGTATGTTTCAGGGACTCTTCAATGGGAAGGTTCTGGGGATTGGTAAGGAGAGGGAAAGCTTGTACATACTACAGGAAGTAATGAAACATGCAGTAGGAGCAGGAGTTCATAAGGAGGATAACAGTGGAAAGTTATGGCACCTAAGACTAGGACACCCTTCTATTGGAGCTATGCAACATGTTGCAAGCCTTAAGAATAATGTTGATATCAGTATTCAAGAATGTTGTGAGATATGCTCTCTGGCAAAACAAAGCATACTGAAGTTTCCTAGTAGTAGCAGTAGGACTGACAGTCCTTTTCAATTGATACATCTTGATGTCTGGGGACCATATAGGAAAGCTACATATGATAAGAAATACTACTTTGTTACCATAGTAGATGATCATAGTAGATTTAAATGGATATGTTTGATTCTATCTAAATGTGAAGTGTTTGTGGTGTTGAAAAACTTTCTTGCCTTAACAAAAAATTAGTTTGACAAGAATATTAAGATCCTGAGATCTGACAGTGACACATAATTTTTTTAATGCCAAATGCAATGAATTATTAGTTTGTAATGGTATTATATATCAAAGTAGCTGCTCATACACTCTACAACAAAATGGAATCGTGGAGATAAAGCACAGACATATATTAGAGGTGGATAGAGCATTAAGTTTTCAAAGTTCAATGCCAGCCAGATTTTGGGGAGACTGTGTCAGAGCTGCTATCTATTTGATCAACAAATTACCATCTACTGTGTTTCATGGCAGAACACCATTTGAGTTGTTTATGAGAGACCACCAAAATTGGACCACCTTAGAGTATTTGGCTATCTCTACTATGCAAGTAGGCTGCCTAAAGGTGACAAATCTGCAGCTAGAGCAAGGAAGACAATGTTTGTGGGATATTCTGAAACACAAAAAGGATACAAACTTTAAGACCTTGACGATCACCAATTTTCTGTTAGCAGGGATGTACAGTTCAGGGAGTCCATATTTCCTTTCAGAACTGCAGTACAGGAGGAAGCACCAGATACTTTTCTATTCAGAGAACTAGTAAATGGAGGGACAGACTCAACATATGCAGAAAATCCTCCTGCAAAGAAACATGTTGCACAAGAATTAACACATATATAAGTCACACTTGCTGCACCTCCAACCACAATACTGGACACAAATGACTCGGTTGTTGATTCATATGAGCCTTATGATGCAACACTAGTCACGGGAGACCAGGCAAAGCAAGTGCGGTCAGATGAGGATCTTCTAGAAGCTTCATCTAATCAGAATGCACCCTCACAACCTGATCACACTACCATACAACAACATGAACAAAAAGTAGAAGCAAATCAAGACATTCATGTACAGGAGGCCACAAATACTAGACCAAGTAGAATGGCCAGACCACCAATATAGTTCAGTGACTATGTTATTACTGTAAAGCCAAAAGTACATTGCACCTATCCTATCTCATAGTATGTTACATATTCTCACCTCAGTTCCAGCTATTAGGCTTACTTGGGTTCTTTCTCTGTACCAACTGAGCCTAAATCTTTTAAGGAGGCTTCCACAGGTCCTAATTGGATCCAAGCAATGCAACAAGAGATGGGTGCATTGGAAGGTAACAAGATTTGGGAGCTAGTGTCACTGCCTGTTGGGAAGAAATCCATAGGCTCCAAATGGGTGTAAAAAA